AAAATGATCTCAGGAGAAACTGAAAATTCAAATAGAACAATTTTCATAAAAATTTAGAAAATTTTTCAGTAAGTAAGTTATTCAAACAACAGGCCCAATTACTTACATGGAGAAAACTTTACCAAATCTTTAAGAACTGCATAAATGTTATATTTAAGCTATTCAGAGCACAGTAAAAGAAGGAAATTTTCTTAATGAAACAAACTTTATAATTATCTCAACCAGATAGCACAAAAAGATACATATCTGTCTTTATCATGAATATTAGTGTAAATGTCCTAAATAAAATATTAGAAACAGAATCCAGCAGTATAGAATCATACAGCAATACCAGAATGGTTTAATGCTGCAAAACCTATTTATCTAATTTATTATATATTCAAATGATGTATTATATTAAATAAAAAATGAAAAAAGCCGTCTCTACAAATTCCAAAGATATTTTAATAACCTTCTACATTTATTCTTGGTTTTAAAATGGACTTTTTAAAGAAATCACAACTGATGAAATATATATATCAACCTCAAATCCATTATTATTATTATAATGGGAGAACACTGAAGCATTTCCATTAAGGTCAGGACCCAGATTAGGATATTAAGCGCTGTTACTGCTATTAAACATTGTTATAGGGGCCATAGCTGAAAAATTTAGGAAGAAAGAAGGCATATGGAAGCTGGAAAGGAAGAGGTAAAGTTATCTTTGATTGCGATTAGTATGATTGTATACCTGGATAATCTAAGAGAATCAACTGATATAAAACAAATAAAAAGAATTTGATAAAGGAGCTGGATAATATATATTTATTTATTTATATTTATATTTATGTTTATATATTTATCTCCATCTGCACACAACAATTATAAGTGATAACAAGAACAACAGAATTATTCAACATTTAAATAAGAAATCTGTAAGACCTTTATGAAGGAAATTGTAAAGTGCTCTTGAGGGACTTAAGTCTGAAACTGAAACAAATGGAAAACCATATAGTGATGTTGAATTGAAAGAGACAGTAATCAGATGTCAATTACATTAAGCTGTATTTGAGATCCAATAAAAGATACCAATAGGATTTTTCCTTTGGAACCAGACAAGTTGATTCTGGATTTTAAAGAGGAAAATGGAAAAGGAAAGTAGTTAGGAAAATTCTGGATATGAAACATAATGAGGGTGGAAAACCCATTCAGATATTAAACTATATTATAAATATACCTTAATAAAAGAGTGTGCTACTGGTCCACAAATCAAGAAATCCACAGAACAGAATGAAAAGTCCATAAATACTGCACAATATATAAAGGCATTTAGTCAGTTGTTATGGCAACATTTTAAATAAGTAAGAAAAAATGTATTCTTCAAAATATGATGTTGACAATTTGTATCTATAAGGAAAAAAAAAGTTAGAGCCCTAGCTGACATGGCACACAAATAAATCCTAAATAATCTAAGTCTCATATCCTAAGAGAGAAAACATAAAAATACTAGAAAAGCAATGACATTTTCCATTAAGAAGTAGAATAGGGAAGGCATCTTAAACTATTACACAACACTCAAAGCTATAAAAGTATTGATAATTTTGATGTTGAAATGAATATAAATTCTGTTTAAAAATAGATAATTAAAAAGACAAATGAAAAACAGAAGCATAATATTTGCAACTTTTATGACTGTAAAAGAGTGATATATATAGTCCCATAATATATAGAGTACCTACAAATCAATAAGAACAAAGACCAAATGACCAATAAAAGTGAACAAAAGATAATAAAACATTAAAGCACATAGTAAAAGAACACGAGAACAACAACTGTGCTTCTTTTATCAGTTAAAGATACAGACTAAAACCAATAATATGCAGTTTTTGCTTATTGGATTTGATAAACAATTGTAGAAGTTACGGTTTATCCATTGCTGGTAGGAGTGCAATTTGGCATAACCACTATAAGAAACAATAAGGTCCTGTCTTATCAGAATTTAAAAGTTCACATACTCTTTGACTAATGCATCTTTTTTTAATAAATTCACACTTGACTAAATGAGGTATGAACATGATTATTCTTTGCAACATTGTAATAGAAACGTATCAGTGATGCACATATATCCACCAATAGAGAGCTGCTGGCTTGAAGAGCAGTGGAGCCATGTGATTTAATATAAAGCAAATTAAAAGAACAAAGCTCTACATATACTGCAAAGGAATGAAGCAAGTAAAAAACAAAGTGAGAAGGTGCAAAACAATGTATCTGGTGTGAGCACACATACTTAGAAGTTTGAAGACCCAAGAAACCAATCTTCTTGGGAAAAGAACACTCAGAAACAGATGGGGAGGATGACCTTCTTTTCACTACAGACTTGATTTAAAAAAAAAAAAAATTGCACCATGCAAATGTTCAGTTTAAAATTAATAAACAAAATGGCTATTGGAAAAGTCAGTGGAGAAAAATACAAGAAATATGATAAATGCCCACAATGCTTGGGGTTTATGACCATCTTTCATTAGTTCTACTGCACCTGCTGCTCTTTATTTCTCAATATACATGAGTCTGTCATGGTAATGCATGAAGAGAATCTCCAGCAGGAGGGCTCGAGATGGAAGAATCAGATATGTGAAGGGACAAAAGAGTATGGGAATAAATGAGGACAGAAGTGAGGCCAGAAAGAGCATGAGCATAAGATAGTAGGCAGGGTACCCAGCCACATCGAAAATTTTGGAATTTGCTTTAAAAGTCGCTGAAATGTTGTAAGCAGCATAGTGACAAAGTCAGATTTAGTTTTTAAAGGCCATTCTTTTTTTTTTTAAGATTTTATTTATTTGACAGAGAGACAGCAAGAGCAGGAACACAAGCAGGGGGAGTGGGAGAGGGAGAAGCAGGCTTCCCACTGAGCAGGGAGCCCTATGCAGGGCTCGATTCCAGGACCTGGGGATCACGACCTGAGCGGAAGGCAGACACTTAAGGACAGAGCCACCCACCCAGGTGCCCCAAAGGGCATTCTTTTTTTTTTTTTTTAAGATTTATTTATTTATTTGACAGAGAGAGACACAGCAAGAGAGGGAACACAAGCAGGGAAAGTGGGAGAGGGAGAAGCAGGCTTCCCGCCGAGAAGGGACCCCCATGTGGGGCTTGAACCCAGGACCCCGGGACCACTACCGGAACCGAAGGCAGACGCCCAACGAATGAGCCACCCAGGTGCCCCCCCAAAGGGCATTCTTAATGAAAAAAGAAAAAATAGACTGGGGGAAATATTTATAATATGGGTAAGAAAAAAAATAGTTGGTAACCAGAAAAAAAAAATTTAAATCCTGGAAACAATGCAGTTAAGTTGGATAGAAGACATAAATGAGAAATTCAGAGAAAAAGACATATAACTTAAACATCGAAAGGCCTAAAATTTCATGTGCCACCTTGACATCTTTGAACCTCATGGGGCCCCAAATGTCTAACTGTGGGTTCCCCTGCCACCCAGTGGGAAAGGCTCCTAACCTGGCTAATTACCATTTCGGCTAGACCAGATGTACTCCACCTGGTCCTACTGGCCTTCACTTCCCTGTCAGCCCATGAAATTATTCAAAAAAGTCAATCACATCCTCTGAAAAGCTTGTCTCCCACAGCCCCCCTGCAGCCCCATGTGGACCTGTGTGGTATTCAGTGTCTTCCTCCCCAAGACCATGAGCATATGTGAACAATAAACTGCTGAGAATCTCTTCTGCCCAGGGTCAGGTGTCATCTGTCTCATCCTATTTAATTAAGACAGAGGATCACTCCCTCACCAATGGAGAATATAGGCGGTGATCAGAACCATTATTTCATTTGTAATTAGAGAAACATTTACTGAAACACCAACGTGGGATTTTTTTACCCAACAGATTCACAAAATTATGAACAATTGATAGGAACCTGTGATAGCAATAGTTTGGATGGGCATATAAATTTGATGTTTTTTTTTCCCTTGTGGTATCTATTAATATATACATATCCTGTAACCTCTAATTTATCTTCTATTTATCTTGTAGAAACTTTACTTAGATGCACTGTTGATGGCAGAGAAAAAATGGATAGGGCTTAGAGGTCCACCAGTAAGATAATAGTTTGATGAATTTTGATACAACCATCTGTATTTAATTCTTGTGGACTGGCTCAATCATCATCATTTCCAAACTTCTTATATGTTTCCCTGTATTACAGAGGTGGAAAAGCTCAAAACTGTATTTGTTAAGCTCCTTGATTACAAGTATAACTTAGGTCTGTGAATTAGATGTGCTTGTGTGTGATTTGACTTTGTATCTATGTTAAGTGAGATAGAGGCAGCATGAAGCACCATTACCCTCATACTTAGTCTCTTATATTTGTTATAATATATATTTCTTCTTCTCCTTCTTCCCCTTCTTCCCCTTCTTCTTCCCCTTCTTCTTCTTTCTTCTTCTTCTCCCCCTCCTCCCCCTCCTCCTCCCCCTCCTCCTCCTCCTCCTCCTCCTCCTCCTCCTCCTCCTCCTCCTCCTCCTCCTCCTCCTCCTCCTTCTTCTTCTTCTTCTTCTTCTTCTTCTTCTTCTTCTTCTTCTTCTTCTTCTTCTTCTTTTCTTCTTCTTCTCCTTCTTCTTCTTCTTCTTCTTCTTCTTCTTCTTCTTCTTCTTCTTCTTCTTCTTCTTCTCCTCCTCCTCCTTCTCCTCCTCCTTCTTCTTCTTCTTATTACTACTAAAGTCTATAGTTTACTGAGATTTCCTCAGTTTTTACAGAATGTCTTTTTTTTTTTTCAGGAACTGCCAAAGTTTTAGTGTTTAACATTTAACAGCATGATTGACCAAGGTCCAAGATGTGGAGTTACCATGTTCAAGAAACTGGGGGGAGACTCACTCTATAGACTAACTATATAGTATGTGGTGAGAAGAACGCACACTTTAGAAACACTATCTACACATAGCAGTTGCTTCAAAAATCCACTGAGTCCTCTCTCGGCTTATAAAAATGGTGTTCTGGACTTCAGTGTGAATTAGCTGCCTTCAACTCTTTGGTGTGGAAGGGATCTTGTTTTCACCCTCCAGCTCTTTCACCCAGCCTATGTCATGAGGTCGCTAATGTTTTTCTCCAGGTCGTCAGTGCAACTGCTCATGTTATCAATTGTTCTAATGACCTGGTCAGACGTGGTCTGAAATTTATCTTGCATCTGTTGCAGGAGTGTCTGCACCACTGAGGTGAGATCCTGCAAGGCCTTGGGGTCAGTCTCAGCCATCTCCCCAGTTCCCAGCTTGACAGCAAATTCCAAAATGTCCTTTTCTGTCTTAGAATTTTGTTCAGGATCCCACTTTACATTTACTTGTCATTTTTCCTTGGGCTTTTTCTTGTCCTGTGGCATAATTCTCAGAATTTCCTTGTTTTTAATGATCTTGACAGTTTGGAGGAGCATTGGTCAATAATAGGATGTCCCTCAAATGGAATTTGTCTGAATTTCTTTCTCATGATCATACTGGGGTTGTAGGTTATTGGAGGAAAACCACAGATGTAAAGTGCTGTATTCATCACTTCATATCACGGGTACATACTATCAACATTACCTATCACTGTCAGTGTTGCCCTTGATCGCCAGGCTGGGGTAGTTTGTCAGGTTTCTCCACTGTAAAGTTTCTCTCTCTTTCCCATTTTTCATACTGTTCTATTTGAAATGAAATTACTGTAAATCAGCTCACACTTAAGGAGTGGGAATTTAAGCACACCAGAGTGGTTTCTCTACTCTAAAAATCCCCTCTGCTTCATCTATTCAACCCCTCCCTACTCCTGAGATCCTGAAAATCACTGATCTTTTTATTAACTCTTTAATTTTTCATTTTACAGAATGTTATAAATTAGTATCATATGATATTTAACCTTCTCAATCTGGCTTTTTTAATATAGTAATATGCACTTGAAGTCCATCCATGTCTTTTGTTGGATTGATAGCTCATTTCTTTTTATTGTTGAAATAATACATACACCTGGTTTTGATATATGGACAATGCTGGTCTCAGAATGAGTGAGGAAGTGTTACCTCTGCTTATTTTCTGGAAGAGAATGTAGAGATTGGATAGAATTCATCAGTGAAGCATATTTGGTTCTGGTACTTTCTTTTTTGAAAGATTATTTGTTATTGATGTAATTTATTTAATAAATAAAGACTTTTTATGCTGTGACTTTTGGTAGTTTGTATCTTTCAAATAAATGGTTCATTTCATCCAAATTATCAAATTTATGGGTATAGAGTTGTTCATTATATTTATTTACAATTTTTTTTAATATCCAAGTGATCAGCACTTTCAGGACTTTTAACTTTTTTTTTTTTTTTGAAAGGCAGACTGCCACATGCAGTGCCTCATTTGGATGTGTCTGGAATCTTGGAAGCTTGACTATTCTACTGTTCTCCTACAAATGGACCTTGAGAGCTTATTTGGAGATTCTAACAGGGGAGCATAGGTACTCCTATACCTTGACTGAGGAAAATGGCCCTCCTGTATGGGGGAAGGTTGTTCTCTTGGGCCAAGCACTCAGCTTCAGGAGGAGTGGTGAGGGAGGAAGTGGATACCCATCTAGCCAGCCAGACCAGCCAAATCAACACTGGTGATCAATGAAGTGACAGATCACCTTCATATCCTTAACTAACTTTTAATTACTGATATTGGTAATTTTTGTCTTTTATTGTTTCTTGGTTTGCCCCCTGGAGTTTTATCAATTGTATTGATATTTTCAAAGAACCAGTTTTTGATTTGTTGATTTTTTTCTCTGTTTTCCTGTTTTCACATCCATTGATTTCTGTTTTATTTTTTTTTTCTCTTTTTGTGATTGCTTGAGGCCTATATGGCTCTTCTGTCTGTAGTTTCTTATGGTGAAAGATTAAGTTACTGGTTTAGATCTTCTTTTCAAATAAATACATTCAATGCTGTAAGTTTTCCTCTGAGCATTGCTTTTACTGCATCTCATGCAATGTTATAATATGCTTTTGCATTTTCTTAAAATATTTTATTTATTTATCTGACATAGAGAGAGATAGAGCGAGCACAAGCAGGGGGAACAACAGGCAGAGGGAGAGGGAGAAGCAGGCTCCCCGCTGAGCAGGGGGCCCAATGTGGGGCTGGATCCCAGGACCCTGGGATCATGACCTGAGCCAAAGGCAGATGCAGACACTTAACCGACTGAGCCACCCAGGTACCCCAACATTTTCATTTTTACTTAGGTCAAATATATTTTTTTAATTTCTCTTTACACTCCTTTTGACCCATATATTATTGAGAAGTCAATTTACAGATATTTTCAGATTTTTGAGCTGTATTTCTGTTAACGATTTCTAGTTTAATTCCATTATCATTTGAGTTCATACTATATAATTTGTATTTGTTTAAATGTATTGAGTGTATTTTATGGCCCAAAATATGGTCTATCTTGGTGAATGTTCATGGGAGTTTGAGAAAATCTGTATTCTGCTATTGTTCAATGGAGTATTCTATAAATGTTAATTAGATTCAGTTGATTGATGGTACTGTTCAGTTCTACAATATTCCTACTAATTTCCTGCCTGCTCATTTGCCAATCACGGATAAAGGTGTTGAAGTCCCCAACTCTAAGTATTAATTCATCTATTTCTACTTGCTGTTCTATCAGGTTTTGGCACATGTATCTTAACACTCTGTTATAAATACATACACTGAGTATTGTTATTATCTTCTTGAAGACTTGGTCTCTTTTATCATTATGTAAGTATTTACATTATTCTTGATAGTTTTCTTTGTCCTGAGGTCTTTAATTAATTTGTCTTAAATTAATATAGTTACCCAGATTTATTTTGATTAGTGTTAGCATAGTATGTCTTTCTCCTTCCATTCAGGGTGTTTTTTTTTCCCCTTCATTTTTAAAATTGTGAAATACACATAACATAAAATTTATCTTCATAACTATAAGTATACAGTACAGTGGTGTTAAATATGTTCTTAAATTTGTGCAACAGTCACCATCATCTATCTTCATAATTCTTTTCATTTTGTATAATTGAAACTCCAAACACACTGAACAATAACTCCCCATTCCTCTCTCTCCCAAGCCCCTGGCAATCACCATGATCCTTTCTGTCTCTATGAAATTGACCATTCTAAGTACCTCATGTGAGTGGAATCATACAGTATTTGTCTTTTTGTGACTGGCATATTTCATTTCACATAATGTCTTCAAGTTTCATCCATGTTACAGCATATGTCAGAATTTCCATTTTAAAGCTGAATACTATTTAATTGTAGTATATCCCACATTTTGCTTATTCATTCATCTGTCTATGGACACTTGGGTTGCTTCCATGTTTTAGCTATTGTGAATAATGCTGCTATGAACATACAAACACTTCTTTGAGACTCTACTTTCAAACCTTTTGGATATGTATCTAGAAGTGAGGTTGCTGAATCATATGTTAATTCTATTTTTTTTTTTTAAGAACCACTGTTATGTTTTCCACAGCAGCTCTACCATTTTATATTCCCATCAAAAGTGCACAAGAGTTCCAATTCTTCACAGCCTCACCAACACCTTTTTTTCTGATTTTCTTCATCATAGCCATCTTAATTGTCCTTGTATTTATCTTTATTGGTACATTTATTTATAGGGCTTGAAGTTACTGTCTAGTGGCCTTTCATTTCATCTTGCAGGACTCCCTTGAGCATTTCTTATAGGGCAGGTCTAATGGTAACAAATTCCCTCAGCTTTTGTTCATTTGGAAAGGTCTTAATTTTTCCCTCATTTTTGAAGAGTAGTTTTGTTGCAGGGTTGCAGGGTTCTTGTTTCATGGAGTCAAAGAATGAATCTCATGGACAAAATGGTGAAGTGAAGTGAAAGTTTATTAAGTGAAGGTGAGAACAGAAAGGAAAGAAGAAGAAAAAAGCTCTCTAGAGTGAGAACGGTCCCGAATGGGTTGACACTGAGGGTTTTTATGGTCGGTCTTTCCCTAGAAAACTGAACATGCCAGACAAACATAGTTGATTTGTAAATGTCATGAGAATATCCTGTCTATATTTAGAACCAACATGGTAGAATTGCAAATATCATGAGACTATCCTTTCAATATTTAAAACCAACATGGTAGATTTGTAAATATCCTGAGAATATCCTGTCTATATTTAGAAAGAACATGGTGGATTTGTTAGGTTCCCTTCTATCTTTTCTATAACATTTCTTCATATCTGGGATTTCTGTGGGCCTGATTCATAGCCCCCTATGTGAGCCTAATCATGTAGCCCTCTACCTATCTCTCCTTACCTAGCCTTGCCTGTCCCTTACTCAGCTTTGCCAGAATAGGATTTGTAGTTGACAGGTTTTTTTTTTCTTTCACTACTTTTAATATATTGGCCCACCAGCTTCAGCAAACCAAAATTTCTGATGAGAAATCTAATGATAATCTTATTAAAGATCATTTGTATGTGATGAGTTGCTTCTTTCTTGTTTTCAAGATTTTTCTCTTTGTCTTTGTTTTTCAAAAATTTGATTATAATGTGTCTCAGTGTGGGTTTTTCTTAGTTCATCTTCCTTGGCTTGTTGAGCTCCTTGGATATTTATAGTCATGTCTTCCATAAAATTTGGGAACTTTTCAGTCATTTTGTTAGGCAGGAAGCTAGGCATAAGTGATAGGAGGATGGACCTTAGATGTCCTGACAGAGAGCCCCAACGGAGGACTGCTCAGGGACCACTCCACTCCACCCATCTTGCAGTCAGTCTCTGGTTACAACATCCTGGCAGAGAAAAAGTTAAGTTTGTTGTGCTTGTTGTGCTTATGCAGAGAGCAGCCCCTTGTCTTTATTTGATCTATGTCTCTAGAATAGAAATAATGTGGTTTCCTACTGGATGCAGGCATTTTGTTTTTTTGTTTGTTTTTGTTTTTGTTTTTGTTTTGGATGCAGGAATTTTGAATACATCTTGCGAAAGGACATGCAAAGGTGGCTAATTATTATATAATCCAGGCCTGTGCCTCAAAGGACCCACCCAAAAGAAAAACTTGATATAAGCCCACACCCTGGAGTTTCTGGGCCTTTGTCTCTCTCCGCTCCTCCCTTGGGGTGTACTTTAATAAAACTTTGCTTTGCTTTGCTTTGCTTTACTTTCATTTCACTGTCCTATAATTCTTTACCATGGCAGCAAAAAGAACCAAGGTTTCTTTCCTTTTCCATGTAACTCTTGGTAACAATTTCTTCTCCAATTATTTGCTTTGCCCCTTTCTCTCTCTTCTCC